TCAGAGGGATAAGAGTGAAGTGTAGATCCCTCGGGCTCTATATTGAACTAGCAGAAAGCTTGCCTGCCATGCAAACCACTTGTGCAGTTGACAGGGTCTGTTCTTCACAGCAGAGGCATCCCTTGGCCTCACCAAAAGACATCCTGGATCAGCAAGTCTAGAGCTTTGTCCCAGCTTTGGCCACAGTCTCTGGGCAGCTTCAGGAGTTGCTGAGCTGGTTTGATAATCGCCATTAACTATTTCCATCTGTCTGTGGTGATGACTGTCAGTTTGCTGGCCAGTGCCCATCCCAGCTGATACCTGTCTTCATCCTATGGCTGCTCTCCCATTTTGGGGGATGGGCAAAATGGAAATCTGCAATATAAAGCAGATGGGTAACAAAGGATGAGCTGTCTTAGTTCTAGAACTCAGGGTGGGATTCAGCCTGAAGTGACACCTACATGAAGTCTCCATGTATATGTGTAAGTCTTTAAGCTCCTGTTATTTACAGTGGAGATGCAGTCAATCTAGAGAGCATCACAGCAGACCAGACAGGGATTGATTTGTTTGACCAAAAGCAGGTGTCAGTCCAGAAGAGCAGAGGACTTCCTTAGGTCTCATATCTGCCAGCCTACATGCCCCAAGCTCAACTTTCAGCGGAGCTGACTTGCTTTGTGGGCTCTGGTGGCTTTGTTGGGATCTCAGGCACCAAAATCCCACAATGTTATTTAAACCCAGTGCCTCAGAGCTGAACTCTGACATTGACCCACCACCTCATTTGTTTTTCAAATTAAACACTCCAAATGTGTGTGACTCAGAGGATGCTTTGATTAAATCCACAGCGAAAACATTTTAGGTACAACATAGATGCTACATAGATTTATAGTGATTTTTATAGCCCTGCTTTCCCTGCAGCCCCTCTACCTTGACATGCAACCAGGCGTGTTTCCAGACTCAGCTTTTGGCCAGCTGTTGGGCTGCAGTACAAATCAAAAACTGTAGAGGTTGATGAAGAAATCTGTGCATTTTGCTCAAGTCCCTGCACCACCCCTGGCCACACTGCAGGCAGCACTCTTTGAGGGCTTAGTTTAACTGGTGTCTCCCAAAGTAAGAAAGGGGGGTTTGTGTGAGCAATGAAGTCACCACAGCAACTACGATTACTTTTGGCAATGCACACTCCTCCTGGACTCATTTTACTCAATTCAGAAGTGACACAACACCCAGAAGGCCAGAGGACTGTTCAATAAATATCGGCTGCCTTCTGCTCTCTGGGTGGAAAAACTCCTTAGGAGGCTTTGGTTCCCCTCTCCTGGGGACAACTGGGTGGGAAGTGAAGGGCAAGAACATGTCCCTTCCTGGGAGGGCTGAGGGCTATTCCAGGTTTGGGGACTTGAGGAAGGGAATTTTCACAGGAAGCATGGAAACTGACGTGGGCTGGGGGCTGTTTGTCCCCTACAAATTGCTTTGCTGGGAGTTGCGAGTATGTTGTTTAAAGGGGTGCAGCAATCACTATTCTCCAGTTCCATGGTAGTGCTGGCTGCTCCTGGGGTATGTATATTTGCCAGTTGAAATTTTTATGTAATTTCCTTGACAGGAGCAGTGAGTGACACATGTTCCCTTGGAAGATATTTCCATGTTTTTACTATTCTTCAGGCTTCTGTGACATTTCTTAAATCCAGTTGTTGGAGTCTCAGGTTCAACCATCTATACTGCGCTGGACCATGTCCCAGCAGGGATAATTTGGCCCTTCAGCAGTGAATACACTGACTTCTGCACCTCACCATATGCACAGTTTAGCGGTGGGTTTCTCATGTAAAATCTTAAAGCCCACAGTGGAAACCTTCATCACTGGGTGCTCAGTGGCACCAGCTCCAGCATAATTTTTCATTCCTGTAAATTCCAACAGTGGCTTTAAAAATTAAGATTAAAAAGAAAACCAAAACTGCTTTTGCCTTCTTTTTAGGTAGAGGTACATACAGGATTGAAATTTTCAAGCTTTCAGTGATACATAAAATACATGCATACAACTCCAGGACCGACGACTATTAGGAAGTCTTTCTACGAGTTCCTTGGTAAAATCATGGTAAAATTGTCAAGCAGCAAACAAAAGCTATATAAAACCAGCTGCTCTTCTGAGTGTGTTAACACTGCTTGCACTTATCTGGCCTAAGTATTGACACATCTTTTCAAAATCTCTGGTCAGCTGTGAGAATTTACACAAAGCAACTCTTGCTGTCCCTGGAATGTAGAGGTCTCTGATGACCCTTGCTGAGAGTGAGGCATGTTGATGGACAGACTATGGAGACCACTCCATCCACCATCTTCATCAATGAAAAGAGAGGAGAAGCCACTTTTTTACCTTTTGTTTGGTTTGGTTTGGTTTTGTTTTTTTCTTCCTTCCCCAGCCTGAAGGTGCGTGTACACAAATGGTTTGATTTTCTGGTTGCCCCTGAGCCCTCTGCACTGTGTACATGGGTGTAGGTTCATTCTGCTGATTTCAACTAGCTTGTTCTCCCCAGAGTACATCTCTGAGGGTAGCTTGTTCCAGGGACCTCTTCTCACCTTATCTCTTGACCCCAGCAAGGCTGAGCCTCTTTGCCCTCATACCCTTCTATACCCCATCCCAAGGTAGGCACCGCATATTTTCAGTAAACTGGGATGCGGTTAAATTAAGATCTTTCTATTTCTGGGCAAAGGAAGAGGGACTGTCAGCAGGTACCTGAGATCTGTCACCAGCCATTATGAAAAGAGAGAAACCTATCTTATTTATTGTTATTGTTGTTGATGTTATTACACTAAGAACCCACTGAGGTCCTCTTATTATGCTGTTAAAGTCAATGTTTTCCCTGTGGACAACATGCTTCAACCGGGGAAAGTTAAAGATTTTTTGATAAAGATATGCTGATAATGTTGCTAATTAGTTTCTCATCTTTAAAAATATGGCTGCAGGCAAGTGGAGCGATTTCTTTGTTGTAGGACATTGTAGGCTGAAATGTATAGATGCTTGATTTCCTCTGCAGGGATCTCACAATATGCTAATTTGTCCTTGCAGCAGTGTTCATTTTTTTAGGTCTTTGCCACTCTATTTTGCAAATCCATTATGTCAAAATATGATCAGTCATATGTGCACAAGATGCAGGCCTCCATGAACATATATAGATATGTATGTGTGTGTGTGCATGTTCACACATACATCTATATTAAAAAAAATAATTCCACAGATATGTGTGTATGCATATATACTCACATATATATTTATACTGTTTTATATTATTTAATGAAATTAAATGTTTAATTAAATTAAATGTTATTTTTTTATAATTATCTGTAATATGTGCATACACATACACATGAAATTTTACATCTATTTAGGAACTCAACATGTGAATGGCTAATTGAACTCATAGGGCTTAGCTCTTCTAGGGAACATTTCACACTCATTTCACTTAAAATGTATAGTTTATAGTCTCTATTCAACACATACAGTTTTCAAGCTTAAGTTGTATGCTTGCGTATGCATTTTCCTAACACTTCCATCTGAACTCTCATTATAATTTACTTTCTATAGCTATCATCTGTCATTTTTAAAAGTTGCATAATAATGTGGTTAGTTCATATAGAAAATTATATTTGCTCTAAATTTGGCTATGATTGTGACATAGCTGTTAATATTTTTGTAAACTTGACACCCACAAGCTGAAAAGACAGGTGGCAAGTTTATTTTTTAAACTTCTCTTTCAGTCACCTCCCCTCACATTCACTGGACTTTCTATGTTCATTTCCAGCAAAATTTCACTGAGGCAAAGGAGAAATGCTGAGTTTTTTACCCATTTGGATTAAAACAACCCTGCAATTATTGTCCAATAACAGTTTTTTCCCTCTCTCCTTCTGTGTCCTGGAGCAAAGTACCATAAGGGGCTCACAGTGTTGCATTTTCACATAGCTGAAAAATGAGAATGTGTTGTCCCAAGTGGTGTTTTGTGGCTCAATAAGCTGCCAGGAGCTAGAAGCTAAATGTCCCAAACACAGAGTTTTGTGGCAAAAACTGTATTCCTCTTGAAATGGCTGAACCAGATGGTTTCCTTCTCCATCTTTTTGAATTTTGAAAATGATATTTGGAAAAAAAGTAGTTTCTATTGATTGAAAACCTGTTTTTAGAGCATTTTCAAGAACACATTTGGGAAAAGCAGCTATGACATCTTTCATTAAAAACAACCCTGACAACTATTTTGGCAACTTTTAAAAAATCCAGTTTGTTTCATTTTCTTTCTCTGTACAGCTCTTGCCTTGGTTACTCTCCTGAAGAGTCAGCTGTGGCAGAAGGAACAATTTTGCATATCTTTTCCTTCTTGTTATCCCCAAAACTTATAAAACGATTGTGAATCGCACTGAGGAAGTTTCTCAGTTTTCAGTAATGGGGCCAAACCAAATAATAACTCTAAATGACATTCTTTCTAGGTCTGTCCTAAGCAAGAACAAACAAGCTTTCCTAACTAGACCGGTTCAGTCCCTGCTCAAAAATAGCTGGGATCTCACAGAAGCTCTTTTATCATCCCAGTGGTATTGCTTCTATTTGGAGTCTTAAAATTTCATAAGACAGCGGAAAATTAGGAAATCTCATAAAAGGAAATCTGAAACTCTTGTGAGCTTTGGGGGAGGCTCTCTCTTCTGCTTTTTTTTTTTAATTTCCTTTTCTGATTCCAAAGTATTTACTGGAATCTACTCAAAACTGCAAACTATTGTTTTACCTGTTGCTGCTCTTTTCAGGGAGAAAACTATCCCCCTCAAGCTCATGGGCTTGTGCAAGGAATGGTGGGAGGGTGTGTGAGCAGGGATTTAGAGACGGGGGGTAATTTCTGTGGGGCCAGAGTGAGTTCAGAAAAGGTTGGCTGTGACCTAGAGCAGTTGCCAGATCATTTGTCACAGATGTACAGGGAGTTGGTGGTGACATTTTTCATCTGTCAGGAAACACACAATCCCAAATGTCACAGGTCACTTTTTTTTTTTTTTTTTCCTTCTAGATGTTCCCTGTTTGCTGTTGTAATGGCTGGGGGTAATGAAACTCTTGTGCTGTACACACCTCCCCTCTGACCCAAGATGAACCCAAATTAGGAGCTGTGAAGGCCAGGCAAGTCCCATACACACATTGCTCACACCACGCTGGCTTGGGTTGGTGGTGCCCGGGAGCCCCAGGCAACCTTCTGGAGACCACCACAGGCCTGTCCTGGGCTACATGGGCAAGAGCTGCCTTTAGCTTTTTCTTCTGTTTCTTCCCTCAGCATGCACAGAGAATCAGGTTTTCCCTCAGTCCTTCGGTTCTCACAATTTCTGCACCCAATGAAAATGGTGTGGTTACCCTGAATAAATGCACATTCAGCTAAAATAACCTGTCTTCACAGGGAGTTGCTTTTTTCCAGAGCCTGAGGCTCCCTGAATGCGTGGGAGCTGCAGCAACATGTCCCTTTTTCAGTGGGATGTCTACATCAGCAGCTTGCCAGGGATGTGATGAGTGGTGCCACAGTTGCATGGCAGCAAAAAATATTGGGAGCATGTTGAATTGCAGGAGCACTGGGCTGTCTTTGGATGGAGATGGGACATGATTATTTGGATGCAGGATGAACTGGGGAGGCTGTGAGTGACTAGTGATGGGAAGGATGACTTTCGGGAGGGATGGATAATTAATGATGAGGCTGCCAGTAACAAAGGCAAAAAGGACTTCTGGATGAAAAGGAAATTATTTGATCAAAGGCAAAGGGGAGGGGGGATAAATACGAGGCAGAATGACAGACTGGTGCTCTGGAGTTGCCTCCCTCTGCCCGGTGGGACCGTGGCCACCCGCCCTACCTGTCAACTACAGTCTCATACCAACTTCCCTGCCACTTCCACTGTCTAATTTCTCCTGCCTTTATTTCACCCAACAGTTCCTTATCTTTTGATTGACTGGTTGGTTGTCTATTATTCAGATCACCTCCTCCTTAAGTTGCCACCCACTGGCCTTGTTGGGATGTTCATTATTTTCAGTCTCCGCCACCTCCCTCGCTGTTCTCCCGAGATGTTTCCCTGGCCCTGGTTAGCCCTGGATTGCCAAACCCTGACTCTTCCCTCACCAGATAACCACATTTAACTTCTTTACTAACTAATCATGCCCCATCCTTACATCCTCTATGGTTGAGGATGGGTGGGCAGGCACTGAAGGCCACCCTGGGTTCCCACAGGCATGGAGAGGCTGGCCAGGCTAGGGGCAGGAGCACGCTGGTTTGTTTTCACCACGTGTGAGTGTAGAGATGAAACCCATCCCAACTGTTCATCCCGCCTCTTCATTTTGACTCTGATATAGAGAGAAACCACCATCTCTTGGCTTCCATCAGTCAGGTGGGCCTCTCCTCTGAGTCTTCTAAGTGCCAGTCTTTGCACCTGAAAGCCAAATCAGTATAAAAGCCTTAGACGTCTAAAACCATAATTCCCCTCTTCCCTCCCCTCCCAATCTCAGTGACCTGGGGGCTGAGCCCACCTATCCTTTGGGACAGAGGATCTGGGCATCTTCACAACAGTGGGAAGTCTACTGTAAATCACGGCAAACCTCTTTCAAAAGTCACTTGCATTTTTGCCAGGCATGAGCCCACCATCATGGGCTTGCAGGGACCCCAGCAGCCCTGCACCTTGGGCAGAAGGTGGCTGTCTCCCTCACCATGGTCATTGCACTACTGTGGGGTTATTTCCCATGCCAGCATGGGTGCCCCCAGTGTGGCTGTACACCCTCTCGGGCTCAGCTGAAGAGAGAGATGGGAACACTATTTTTGCCTCATGTTGAGGAGTCTCTTTTACCTCTGACTAGTTCCCCTTTGTAGGAGATTTTGTACGTGAAGCTACATGAGAGGATAAAAATTGATGCCTTCTAGCACATCTCCTGCACATGCTTTAGACAGCTGACAGCTTCATTGCTGAGTGATGTGGCAGAGAGCCTGGACGGTGCAGAGGAGCCCTTCCCAGGGACAAGGGCCACCCTAGGGATGGGGTAGCCACCACAAACAGTCCAGGACCTTGTGTGCACAGAAGAAGATGTGTCCCGGTAAACAACGATTGCTTGTTGATTGTGCAGAGCAGGTATTTTTTTTGCTTATTTACCTAACAGCTTGAGAAAGGGTGGGAGAAGATCTTTTTCTCACTTAAGAGTGGTGTGCTGTTTCTCCAGAGGGTTCCCTTGCGCAACACACAGAGGCTCAGGGCTGGTGAGTGGGTAAGTATTCCTGCCTCACAGGCCCAGAATAGGATGCTCAGAGATCCTAGAAATCCTGTCTGAAGGGCTCAAGCTGTGATGTTCGGTTATGTTAAGAGGGATCTTAACATATTTAAAATTGATCCTGCTGTGCACACTTTTCACAGATAAGAGGTCTTTTCCCAGGGCAATGAGTCCATGGGGTGGCTGGGTATTGCCTGGGTCACTAAAGGTGTTTTTGCACAACTGTTTTCAGGCAGCATGAGCTCTGCCGTGCTGGCTGAAAACTGCCTAGGAAAGGATGTCTTTAATCTGTGCCACATTAACCATGGCTACAGGGCTTTGTTTTTTCAGGGCATGAACGGCATGATATCAGGGCAGCCCACAGAGCTATGCACTCAGTGGAGCTGGCTGTATCTGTGAGGCTGAGGGAGAAACAAGTCCTCCAGCTCCAAGATTTGCATAATGACTTTTATGTCTTTAAAGAAAACAGGTTGTATTCGCCAGGAAGCTCACCTGAGCTACCTTTTGGGTGAGGTAACGAATGACAAACACATTAAGTACAAATCATTTGCTCATTTATTTTCATTCTAAACCTGAGCAAATTATAATCATAAAAAAAAAGGAAACATCAGGAATGAAAGCCCTATCCTCGTGTCTGTCCATGTAAGGTAGTATAGCTCAACCTGCCGAGAGTCGTTCACAACTAAAAGCATGGAAATACCATCAGAAGGTGGGATTCAATAAAAGATGCCAGAGTGGGATTTGGGAGGCCTGCGTTATCTCTTGGCCTTTGCCATCTCTTTCCACTCTTTGCCTGACTCCTCTCTCTGGACTCCAGGTTCTCTGGGACATGGGATTTCTCTTCCCATGCATCTGCAGAGTGTCTTCGCTCATCTCTATGCTGTTAGTGTTATAAGCAGCATTTCCATTGCACTGAAAACACTGAAAGTCCAAAAGTATTTTCTGAAATGGATCAAATCTAAAACCAAATTACAATATTTCCCAACAAACTCCTTAAATATTTAATTTCAGCTTGGTGAAAACATTTTGCTTTGAAACATTCTTAATTGAAAGAGATCAGTCCTTTTAAAATTTCTTTCTTTTTTTTTTTTTTTTTTTTTTTAAATTTCACATAAAACTAATTTTCAGGTGAGGGAAATTGATTTCTCTGAATGTCAACAACATTTTGCTACCATTTCTATTGCATTGTGACCCTGAAACAGCTGCCTCTGAACTGTTTTTCACTGTGGCTGCAGATGTCTGGGTGGCAGTTACATTCTCATCCTCACAAGTGGCTGAATTTTAGTAGTGCAGTGAGAGATCCCCAGTAGCCATTAAAGTCAATGTTCATCATCAGTTATTTTATTCTAGTGGCTTAGAGAGTGCAATTTTCATTTCTTGAAGAAGAAACTGCTGTAATCCTGTGTCTACTCTATCATACAAGAGTATACTGGAGCTTCCATTAATCACTACAAGTTGCTGAGAGATCATAGGCAGAAAAGCACTTGAAAGAGTGAAATACTCTAAATGTTACAAACTTAAACAAGAAAAACTCAAAATTGCTGTAAAAATCAACTTCAGAATTGCAAGTTGTAATTATTTTATGCTACTTACGACTGGGATCTCATGGATGAAAAAGAAGAGCAGATTCATGCTCTGTTGGCTCACTGTATTTGCTTGATTGCTCTCTTAGCTCAAGTTAGTGTTGTCCAATATATACGATCAAGGAGACATCAAAGGTTTCATTCTGGTCAAAAGTGACCAAATCCAAATCCAAAAATCACATCTGAATTCACATTTTAGCTCTGGGCGGTAGTACTGCAAAATGCCGTGTTGAGGGGAGTTTGAAAATACCTGCTGACACTTTTCTGGCTGGAAAAGACTTTTTAGAAGTTTCATTTCTATACTGAAAGAAGGGATGGGGGAAAAAAAAAAAATCTTAGTTTGCCTAAATTGCCTAAGAATCATTACTTGGGATTATTTCTCCTTCACTATGTGCTTTCTAGTTCCAGAATAGCAAGAGGTGGTAATGAAAAAGATCAGCAGTAGGATATAGGGAAACAACATTATACAAACTATACCCTTTATAATTCACATAAAGAGATTATACTGCAGTGTCGCTGGAAAGGGGACTTGTCATGCCTGTTATTTATCTACCTGACCAGGACATTGACCTTTTTATTACATGAGGCTTTTTCGGATTGTCCCAAAGAAGACAGGAGGCTGTAGGAAGCATGGGAACTCCTGATCTGAGTGGTGTTTTTCCCAGAAGACTGAGGATAATACCTGGAGGGTCAATGCCTCCTTTCAAGACCATGTGGCCAAAATTCATGACCCAATTTCAATATCTGCAAAAGCCCAGTGGGAGCAGATGGGTAATTTTTTTTTTTTTTTTTAATTGCTTACCCCTTGCTTATGGGCTGATCTTCATTTAAATGTGTTTGTTATTCTGAAGAATCTGCTAAATGGATTTGTACAAAAACCCCCTTTGGATTTAGCTCCCATGGTGCTGCTGAGTGCCAGGCACCAAGCACAAAGTACAACATTTGTGCTGTGTCATCAGCTTCCTCTGTTGCTGGGTATTATTGCTTCTCCATGGCTGGATGCTTCTATCTTTTAAAGCAGAACAATCAGGAATAAAGAATGTCAAATGAGAAATGAACTATGAAGGACAAATATTTCCATTTCTGCACAAATAACCTGTCCTTGTTAGCCTTGGATGATGGTCCGTGTACAAAAAAAAAAAAAAAAAAAAAGCCATTATCCAAGTACTTGGATGAGCAAAACACTGACTGCATGTTTATTTATGAAACATAAAGGCAATTCCCAGGCTGCAAGCCCAGAAAGGATCACTGTCTTATCTAATTTGCTCTCCCCTGTAGGAAGCCCATCGTTTCCACCCTGTTTCCTGTTTGAGGTTTTGTCAGGTTTCAACTTCCCGTCATGGCTGGTTCAACCATGCAAACAAATTCCTACAACTCTGCATGACATGTCAGTTAATACAGATTACACTGGCAGGTCAGAAGGACTTCCAAGATCATGTTTGTGCCAGGTTGTAAGCCTGAGCATAGGTTTTGTGTGATCAGCTTGGTGGAGGTAGCCTGTCCTGTAAAGATCAAAGCCTTTTCAAAGATTGCAGGTTAGTCACCCCCGACCCCCAAGAACATTCAAAGTCTTTGCCTCCATGCTTTGGAGTGACTGATGACAGTTGTGTACAGGAGATGAAAAGATCTGTCTGTAGCTCTGACTAATTAAGAATTTATTGCTGCATCTTATGCACCAAGTGCCAATGATGGTGAACACAATATGTGGTTAGTTTATGACATTGGTTTTCCTTGTCATATATGAATAGCAAGAAATAAGCTTAAAAAAAAGATGAAGCAATGATGCTGGCAATAAATAACACTGAACTAGAATCTGGTAGCTATGTGAAACTGTTTCTGCTGAACTGAGCTTGGTCATTTGTGATTTGTAAATGCGAGTACTGCTGGCTCTGGGAATCCTTTGTAAAGAGACCTGATGCTTTTACCTTTGTCACTGAAAGAATAATACAGATACGTTTGGAACAACTGGACTAAAACATGGTTTTACCTGGCTCCCAGACACAGGATGATGCTTCTAAATGCTGCGCTACAAATTCACATTTCAATGAAGTTATTGTCTGGAAACAGAACAAACTAATTTCGCATTTCTACATTTATTAGCCAATTGTTTGAAAGTGTTTTTCATGATTTAATTCACTCTGCATTAACAAGGTATTCATATTTCTGACCCTCAGGCCACATTCTGTCTTACTGCTTTTTCCTCTTCAAAGAAAGAGGTATGGGTAAAACTACTTCTACTCTGAAAATGGTGGACATAGAAAAGGCATGTTCTCAGCTATGTAAGCCTGGATGCTTTTTGTGTGTTGAGAGTTATGTTTTCTGGCTGGGGAAGAACATGCAATTTTTACTGCCATCAGCCCCGATGTACTAGCAGAACTCAGGAATTGCAGCCTTTTCTATCTTCTACATCATCTGAAAGAATTGATCATTAATTTCTAATTGTAGGATACACGGTGTAATCCCACTGTGGTAAGGCTGCGCTCTTGCTTACCCACGTGTAACCTCCAGGAGACACTTTATTACTCTTGATGGATGAGCCTTGAAGAGCTCATCTTGACTTTCAGACCCTAAGCTGCATTTACAGCCCTGGAAGATGAGAATCTGGAGGAGAAACATTTTGCTAGTAAACAGAGCAAATGAACATACAATAAACCTCTGAGACACAGTAATCCCAGAAACCCATGACACTATTAATAATGGGTGCTTTTCAAAGTGAAACCACACTTCATGCCCCAAAGCCTCCAGAATTATGTTTGGGTAGGCTTCAGACATCACATTCCTTGGAGGGAAATAGCTTGTATCTTCCATTTCCCTAATGCCACTTATTTTTTTCTCTTTATTGGAGATGGATATGGTTCCCTTAAGAATCCTCATTTAAGTAGCTTCAATCCTTTTCCGCTTTACATTTATTGATCTTCTGGGCAGAATGGGTATTCTGGTTAGTAGATAATTTTAGTGTTTTGCAGTTAGTTTTTATTCTCGGGAAAGATGAAAGGAGGAATTCTGACCTGTTGATAGACAGGGTGTGAGTGTCTTTACATGTAAATGTACATGTTCCACTTCCTATCTATACCAGCTTTATATATGGTGGGTAACAGAGGCACTTATCTGTGTGAAACAAAAAAATGCAGCACCCATGGTGGTTCCACATTTGAGCCTGAGTGAAGATCTGAACCACCAGGATATCCCTTGTCTAGGCTTATTGTCTCTGTTGTAGTCCCCTCAGTCCTGATCTTCCCAGCTTGAGAGTATTTTCTAAAACTCAAGTTTTATCAAACATCTCTGTGCATTGTTGCGTGTGGCTGTAGGCAATGACTTCACGCTTGAGTAGGCCCCTATGTAGGTTTCCTCCACAACTTGTTAAATCAAACCAAGAAACTGCTACAGAACCTCAAAAGTACTTAGTTGCCCTCTGCCTCCTTAAAGACCTAGTTTGGGTGTCAGTCAACAAAATGATCTCTGAGTTCTTAAATATTCACCAGTAGCTGTGATTAAACCTCACAGTACCCAAAACTCATTAAGAGAAGACTTGCAGGTCCATCCTGAGAAGTTCAGCCTCTTCTCCTGACTCCTGTACATCCTGAGACTGGTCAGAAGATTTACAGCCAATGTAAAAGATTTTTCTTCCACTACAGATGGAGCTCTGCCCAAGTCCCTGTGGATGGGGGAGCCCATGTAGCATACATGTCCTCAAGTTCCTGGCTTTAACCACCAATGCAGAGTTTTGAGTTATATTGGTGACATCCATGGTAAGTGCTCTAACCACATTGGGGAGCTGCCTACCTGCAATGAGTTTTCTCACAGTCAGTCTGAGTTTAGGAACCCAATCCTAGCTCAACCATCAAGGTTCATGTTCACAAAGCACAAGAGATGCCTCCTCCCCACCCAGGCAACGCTGCACCTGGGGGGGTGTGTTGTCCTTCTGTGGGAGGAGGCAGGTGAATGCAGAGGAATTCATCCCCACGTTTGGCACTGCAGTGCCCATGTCCCGTCTGAGGGAGTGGAGTGGGATCTGCTGCTGCTGCTGAGCCGCCTGCCCAGAGTTTATAGCTAGGACATTGGGCCACTGCTGCAGTTGTCAGTTTAGCAATTTTCAGTGCTTTAATAGACTGTATTTCTGAAAATTGGCCTGCCTGCTCTACAAGTGTTATTGATTATAATGTGAGTTGTATTGCAGCTGGAACTGTAATAGACTCTTAAGGGATTTATTTTTTATTTTTTATGTTTTTATTTTTTTAAGCAGACTTGGAGGTTAAGTGGATACTACATTATGCTATTATTATAGCTTCAATATTATTATTTTTCTTTAACTGGGATTGTTTATTATGCATGTATTGAAGCACAAATGTGGAACAAATGAATCTCATATCAAATTAATGCTGTGATCAGGTTTTCCCCCCTTCCCTCTTTAGTTGACATAACAATCTGTGATCTTGAAGCAACAATAAAATTAGAATTGCATTTAAGGTGTTTACATCATGTACACTCTGTATCCCATTATTATTTTTCACTGTAATAAAAGCATTGAGTGTTTGCTTTGGAAGACAACACCAGTACAGCTCTTGCCTTGCCACGTCTCACGTTGCTTTTTGAAGCCAAAAGTTGTTTGTTTTGAGAAGAGGGAAGGGTATTCTGGGCTGGAGCTTTTGGAGGCGAGGTGATTTTGTTTATGTTTTGTTTTGTTTTGTTTTGTTTTGTTTTGTTTGTTTTTTTTTTTTTTTTTTTTAGAAAATGTCTGTCTTTTATTGTAGGATGCAGTTTTGGGTGTGCTACCTTTTAATTTCAGAACTTCAAAGAAATGCATCTCTGCTTTTAAATGTGCTGCAAATCTCCACCCCTGCTGTTGTGGAAAGTACATCTTCTAGCTGTTTCCCTTACTGACAAAAACCAAAATAAAGCAACATGTGTGCAAGGACGAGATTTCATTGGTGCGTATGTGTGCATGTGCGTGGCTGCATATGTGTGCATACAAATGTATGTATATGATGTAATTAACTCCCCCTCCCCATGACTGCACAAGCTTCTGCCCCTGGGGACAGGATGAAAGGAGAAAACATGACAGATGTTAGTCATATTGCCTAGTGCATGACTTAAAAGTGCTCTGGTAGTTCAGCAATGAGTGTCATGGAAAAAACATTTATAGAACAAAGAGGCCGTTATCTCAGTATCTAGACTGCGCTGGGCATCACGGAGCCCCTTTACTGCTGCTCCTATCCAGTCTGGCACGTTATTCCTTGCTGTGACATCTTTCTGTGTAGCCTTTGTAGATAATCCTTGTGATAAAGCTACCTTCAGAAAAATTGGAGTTTTTCATTTTTAAATACATAACGTGATCACCTTATGCTGAGGCTGGACTTGAATAGAAATACTGTGAGAAGATTTTCCTTCTCCATCCGCTAAGCCTGCTGTTCTCAGACACAAACCATCCTTTGATTTTTTTTTTTTTTTTTTGCAAGTTTAGCCTCTGTTAGGAGCACAGGAACCATCTATTTATGAACACTCTGTGTGATTATTTCCCTGATTAATCTGAATATAGGACGTACAGCAACAAGCTAATTCTAAAGCCTTTCCTGGAGGTGCTAACACGTCTTCTAATTCTTTATTTCAGATCCTGTACAACACAGAGAAGAATTGCCACACTGGGATTTGGGAGGGACAGGATAAAAGAAAATAAAATGCCATGTAGGCTGAGCAGGGAAGGTAGTTAACTGTCATAAATTTCTGAAGACAAGATCTCTCCAGATCTGGGTTCATCTAGTGAACCCTTCGCTGACTCTAGTCCTAAAGATCAAAGAGTGGTGGATTAAGTAGCATGTATTCTGCAGTGGCGTGCTGCTGGGGATTAGCTGAAGAAGAATCACCTAAATAAAAGGTCAGAGTGCCACAGAACAATTCTGACTGCAAGGGACCTTGGGAAGTCCTAGTCCAACCCGCTGTTCAGGGCTGGACCAACTTCAGTGTAAGATCAGGTTGCTCAGGGCGATGCCTAGTTGAATTTTGAATGTCTCCAAGGATGGCAATCCCACCTCCTTTCAGGAAGTCTATGCCAGTGTTTAACCTCTGTAATGGTGGACTTTTCCTTCCTTATATATAATTGGAATTGCCCTTCCAGCAAATTTTTGTGCCTACCCCATCCATGTAGCTTTTCGTCCTTTTGTTGTATGTTCCTGAGAAACATCTGACTCCATCTTCTTTAGGTTGTTGAAGACAGCTATAAGATTCCATCCCTGCCTCCTCTTCCCCTGATGCTGTCTCTTCTCCAGGATGAACAAAGTGAGTGTCTCAGTATCATCACATACATCATGTGCTCTGGCTCCCTCATCATCTTGAACTGTAACTAAACTGGACTCACTCCAATTGGCTGACCACTCACTTGGCGGCCCAAAACTGACCACAGTACTCTAGATGTGGTTTCACAAATACCAAATAAAGGTGAATAATCAATTCCCTTGACCTCGTTTGGAGCAAAGGAGATGGTCTGGGCTACCACTGACTGCTACTACAGAGCCTTTTGAAGCTGCCGCCATCAGTGCCAATGATCTGTTTAAATGATGGCCTTAGGCCTCTTCTCACTGGATAAAATCCACATTGATCCAGGATTAAGATCACTAGTTGTCTCAAAAGAGGTCCAAAGACTATGTGAAGTTCTGTGGTGGCTTTTACGTTTTATTGTTGTCCTGGTTGGGGCTGGACTAGAGCTCCCGTTGGTTCGGCAGCGGGAGGAGTGCTGCAGCCCCCTGAGACCCCAGGGGCTCCCCAGGTCCCAGTGCCCTCACCTGTGCGCGGGGGCGGGGGGAGCACAGCTGGAGGGCTGGGCCCGGATTGGCCGATAGTCCATGTCATGTGACATTGTGCTCACTATATAAAGGCAGGAGTGGGCCAGGAACAGCTGCTGCTTCCAGGAGTGTGGCTGTGGGGCCTTTGTGTTTGGGATCGCCGGCCGGGAGCAGGTGGGTGGTGAGCAGCTGTATGGTACATTACCCATTGATACTGCTGTCAGTGTATTGTTCTGTTACTGTTATTAAACTGTTTTTATCTCAACCCGCGAGTCTCCCTTTGCCCCTCCCCATTCACAAGTGGGGGGAGGGTGGGTGAGTGACTGCGGGGCGTTTAGCTGCTGAGTAGGCTCAAACCACAACAATTGTGACCTTTCAGGATGAGGGCTAAGGTTGGAGACTGAAGCAGTTAGGAGTCTCCAACTGTTGGTGACAATTCTTTGCCTGTTATGATTATGATCACTGCCCCATGCTATGAACATGCTACTTGGTTGGAGGGGCTATTTCTGGAGTAAGTCATTTAAGTCACTTGGAGAAGGATTTTGGCTATAACTGCTATGGTATCTCAGTGTAGGCTCTGTAAATAGGGTGAGACCATTTTTCCAACGTGTTCCTACCAGGCTTTTCACCCTCAGACATCTCCTCATCCCTTGGTGTGGGACACTGGACTCGCCCTCAGCATCATGTTGTAAAGATAAAACAGGAACAGTTTGTGAAAAAAGGATGGGGAGGCCCTTGCCCTGCTAATGTTTGGGGTCCATGAGGTATCACATAGGAAACCTATATCAAGTTGCTGACCAGTGTTCACACTGGCCCAGCTGCTCTACAGGCTGCTATCCCCAATCAGTTTGGATATAAAGCAGTCTGCCTTAACTGCTCTTGGTGAAGGAAAGTGAAATGAGGGTGCTTTTCTCTGGCCAGTGATGTAATAGTATGGCCAAGAGAGATACTTTTAAGTCTCGCTTGGTGATACGTCTGTTAAAATGTCTTTGCAGATGTCTCCAAGCATTTCTTGTGATTGGTACTGGTGACTAGAAAGAGCCTACAGGGACTAGAAAAAGGAGGGAAGAGAACAGAGGATGTCTTGAGCTGGCTCTTGGTTTGTAACCATATAAGAGAGATACTCATTTTGTGTAGCACAATGAAGATACCTTCATGTCAGCTCCAAGATTACTCAGTGTAGCCATGTCAGTATAGCTCTGTGCCCAAGAAAAATCTTATCAGCTTTGCTTTGAAGAATGGAGATCCTTGTAGATGAGCCTACACTGTCTTCAAGACCTGTAATTTCATCCTTGCATGGTGGATCCAACTCCTCGAAGGCAATGTGGTGGGTCATCATGCCATCTCCCAGTGCATGGCAGAGACGTGTGACTATCACACTTCTAAGCTTCTATATTATAGAATAAATGCTTTACACCACAAGCATGTTTTGAAAAATCAAACAAAAACCTGAGAACTTGATTACCTTGTCCTGATGACCCAAATCACGAGGTCTGCTGCAACACTTTAACATATTTGCTGCTGTACTCATGGTTTCCTTTGGTTGACTTAGTGCTACACAGAGCAGCTCTGAGGGTACTCCAGTGATTTATAACATGCTTTCTAGTTGAGGGCATGTATTTATCGTGTTACAACAAACGAATGATTAATAGTTGCCATAGTGATAACGAGAACTTGAAGTCTTTGAGCACTACAGTCAAATGCAAGCCTTGGCACATCTTTGCTGCAAAACAATCATGGTGGGGTCTTAAAAATAGAGGTTCAGAAACCAGCATCACTTAATAATACTGTAACACCCTATGAAGAAAACATTAAAAAATAATCATATGCTTATTTAGAAATGTGAAAAAAACAGATGGGAAAGACTCAGTTCATCTTTTTCACTGTAAGAAGACATTTAAATGTTTTCACAGAATGTACTTTTTTTTTTTTTTATGCAGTTGAAAGCTGCTGCTTTTTACTGCTAACCTTCCCCTTCTTTCCCCTGGCACAATTTTGCTTCTTGAAATGTTATATGGACAAAATCTCAGCTTTCCAAGGTCCTGACAATGCTTCTCTTTAATCCAAGGTATGTATTCATTTCTCCTCAAGTTTTCTTACCAGCCACCAGTAACAAGTCTTTGCAGGAATGCACAGAATTGCCTCCCATTATTTCTTGATATTTTGTAAAGGCAAATGTCATGCAGACATCTATGGGACACTAGGGCATATGGGTAGTTGCTGAAGCTTATAGTTGTTTGTTCAAGACCAGGTTGGGCACAAATGCCTCTGTATTCAAAAGCCTGTGCAGCATAATGCAGTGGTCAAAGCGGAGTTCGTTAGTGATGGGAGACCCGGACCCAACAGCAGGCAAAGTTAACTTGGGTGATGTGTCCTAACAGTCTCAAATAGTTGTTCAAAAAACGTGAGCGAGCAAGAAAAGTCTTGACTTGGTTATCCTCCATTGGTGTCAATTTGCTGAAATATTTAACCTGGAAATGAAGACTCAGCAAATGTATAAATAAAACGTTGAGAGTCAGAGTGGCAAGGCCCTCCTCTCCTACCTGCTGCCTCTCAAGGGCATTTATAAATGAGACTTTCACAACACACAGGGAAAAACAGAGAGCAGACTTGGTGGCCATTAAGTACTACAAGAACTAATTAAATGAGAAGGAAGGAATCTGAAGCCACTAGGACATGCAGAAGCTTTGTTTTGCTTACTGGTATACTGAGAAATTCCAGCTGTGGATCTGGAAGATGAGTCAACTGATTTATCCAGGAGATCACATAAAGAGCAAGGCAGGAGGTATTGTGCCACACTAAAGAACACGCATAATATTTTTTGGCATCAACGTGCAGCTAATATCCTCTCAGAGGAATGAGAAGTGATGAGAAACCTCCCCCTTGTGTTACTTCTGCATTTCCCTCTTTCTCGCTCTTTGGGACTTTTCCTGTCTACAGCTCTGAAGAATCAGGATCCTGTACTATCAAGTTGGTGTAAAATTATTTTTCCTGATTCCTCAGCCTGTGGTTGTGGGAATCTGAAATCACTGTCAGCCCTTTGGAACATTGAAGGTTTGAAGACAGAAACTCGGCACAGGAGTACCAGGCAGTCCTCAATTCAGCAGCAGTAAATTAGAGAAAAGAGAATAACACTCATTTCCAGGAGTCCCATGCAATGTGATAGTTGAGGTGAAACAAAGACAATTTATTTTGATGTCACTGGCAAGTTGTAAAGCATTAATTATTAGCCAGTACTGCTTTGCAAGAAAATATAGATTAGAGGTTCAGTGCTAGCAGATATCTACCATCAACTCTCACAGCCAACAGGCACCCAAAAAGCTTCAAGACCTGTGAGTCCCTACTGCCAGGTGTTGGCATACATGTGCCTCTACTTGTCCAAATGTCTGATGGTTGCACCAACGTTGGCACGTGGCTCAGTCACTATGAGCTCGTAAGACCCCTATGTGTTGGAGCCACCATCCACAGGCCATGTGTGCTACAAACAAAGCATGCGGGCAGACCAGACCTTTGCCATGTGAGATGATCTTGTGCTTTGCCTTTCTAATTAGATCAAGAGGAACATGATGCTCCAGCATCTTTGTAGGCTCGGTGTAACTAATTCAGCGCTACAGTGGGACTTGCTCCAGAGACAGTGTTGTGTCCCATAGATGCACTTTAAACATTGAATACAGCTAATGAAGGTATTAAAAGGCAGGAAAATTTTAGCCATTTCAGTGGACCAGGTAAGTCGAAATGCCCTCAGACCAGCTGGAATGGATGTTTGTAGTACTAAAATGTCACACTGCCGTATGTGACAAAATTGTCTACTAATGATGGGCTTCACCCAAGCCAGCATTTGGCCACTCGTAGTTTCCTTGGATTGCCCACAGCACGCAGCCTAGCCTGGCTGAACGTACCACTTTGCAGCCAGAATGGGCTTTGTGAGTTGTCAAATAATCCTGAGACTTCACATAAGCAACAAGTTTGGGTGTTATTTCGGAGCTATATAATTTTCCGAAAAAGGTAAAATGATCACTTCAGTGAGCAGGTTTTTGAACAAGTTTTTGTTCAATTAGCGCAACTTGATTTATTACTAGGTGAGCCCTCAAACAGCCTGTAATTACAGACCCACAACTGCAAAGTAAGAAGATTATGAAGGTTAAACATATCAAGTCTTTGCATGAGAAGGAAGTGATCAATGAAAACAAAAAAAAAAAAAGCTAGAGTTAACAAGAGATAAAAGGATTCAAGACTGTGGCAGGTAGGTTTGTGCTAGGACATTCTGTAATGAAAGGAGACAGCACAGCAAATGAAATCAGAAAACCCTGATATTGCTCAGAGTACTATTAGAAATCTTAGATGTAGTCTTCAAAAATAACTCTAATTTTAATGGCTAGTGTGCTTTCTTTTCAGTCCCAAATTTACCTGCTGTGGTAATGCAGTGTCCTCTCACATTCAGTGTTGAAAATTAATTACTTGAGTAATAAGAGTATATAGAAAGTTATCTTCAAACAGGTTATAAAAAGAGTTGTTTGCACTGAAGGGAAGTTGCCCACTGCATTTTAAGTTTGTAGCATGAATAAATCTCTTTGTGTTCTCACACACTGTGTCCCCCCCATTATGCCTAGATGAGAGAGACAAATAGAATCTTTTGGGCTAGCTAACCTTGTCCCAGAAGTCTTACGC